TGCCCCAGGGGGCTTCACGTGACACTGACTCACTCAGCTGGGAGAGCGACACCAAGGGCAAGTTTTAAACACTGGTAATAATATGAAACTGCTCTTCCCATAACTCCCAGAAACCCCTTGTACTCTTGGCCCCTGCCCTTCCTTGGTATGTGTCAATGCAGGTCAACTAGGATTTATAGAATTTGTCGTAGTTCTACCTGCCTTTGATGCTCACAATTGGAATATTTTCTCCCTTGAGAATAATTTCCACAGCTACTTCTCTAGGACCAGCCACCAGGTTTTTAGCTTACACTGGTTTACACAGTGAACTTACTACACATAAATGAAGGTATGGGTTTGGCTGCCCCTGGATAAGAGCCTATGGCCCATTCAACAATTCCTCAGAGGGGGCCTAAGAGCAGGACCACTGCTTCAGCTCAATGCAGAAGTACCAACCCCTCATAGGCTGAAAAAATTACTGCTGCAAAGAGTGGGGCATATACAAGTCCATCAGGCCCTTCTTCGCTCATCCCCTACCTCCTACTACTTCCTCTCCTCACACCTGACAGTACCCTCTCAGCCCAATGCTCCCCCCACACCATCTTCCTTGGCACATACCTCAGTGTCCTCATACCAGCTGGCTTGTGATTAAAATGGACCAAGCTAGGAAGTGCCAGAGAGGGTGAAGCCTACTGTATCAAATTTCCTTGGCCTTTTATAGAGATGCACCAAGAACCCAGAGAACTAGGAGGCTTCTGTTACCCTAAACACAGCTTAGGCACCGTTCGGCTGAAGCAAACCGTTCAGCTCTCTGGACCTCCTCTCTGTAAAAAGAGTTTGGCCCAGTAGGTCTCCAAGATCTTCCAACTCCAAAAGTCTAAATAACTCTAAAAATAGTTCTCTAATTTACTGTCAGAAATACTAGGGGAAAAATTAGAAGCTTGCTAATCTGAACCTTTTAAGGCGATTTCTCAAGCCCTTTTGTTGTATCTTTACTCTGGTTTGTTTTTGTTATGACATGAAAAGTTTTTCAGCGTGGCCTCTGAAGTACCTGATGCAGGCTGGTGGGTGAACGTGGTGGGTCAGCCTGAGGGACACATGGACAGACAGGAAGGAGCACTGACCAGACCTCCTCATTCTAATCAGTAAACACCACCGGGAAACATTTCATGCAGGCCCTGGGACACAGAGACAATCATCACTAAACCCCGAGGAGTTCAGAGGCCACCAGGTGAGACCAAGAGACTCTCAGTTATAGACAAAATCTTAAAACAGTTTCTATCTTGCATGGGACATAAAATGATACTCATGAAGAGTGTGCTTCTTAGCTCAAGTACATACATGAGACTAAATGGGCAGCTCCTGTCCAGAGGCGAGATGAGAAGGCAGAGAGGGTCAGGAGCTGGTTGAATGGACACGGGAAATCGGGTGGAAAGGAGTGTGCTGTCACAGTATAGGGAGAGCGATTAGGGTCACGTAACAATGTGTATATAAATTTTTGGATGAGAGACTAACTTGAATTGTACACTTTCACTTAAAGTACAACCATAAAATAAAATAAATAATAATTAATCTAGCAGCTTAGACAAGTAATTAAAAATATTTTTATGTCTGAGATAAAAGTATGTTATTAAAATCAGATGCCCTACAAAAAAATCAATTGACCAGAGTTTCTATCCTGCTAAGAAAGATGATGATAAGGAGGGCAGAGAAAAGAGGAGACCAGGAAAATTCTGTGACTAGTTTTCGTATTCTGGAAAGCCCTCGCCAACTAAAGCACGGTGCCAAGCCTTACGAAGGACTGTGTCTGCTGGGCCGTAACCACTTTCCGCTGCAACTTGGCTCAACTTAAAACTGAGCAGGTGACCTGAAGGTGAAGGCTGATAATGGAAAAGACAGGCTCTTCCGTCCTCCTGCAACCAGCAGAGTCAGCGAGGCAATCCTCTGAACAAAAATCATTTGTCTTTCTATTTAGACGGGTGACACAGCCTTACATTTAAACCACCCCAAATGGTCAGGAATTTAGGCATTTCAACGCTCATGAGGACAGTGTAAGAACACACGAGGGACAAGCCCAGTGCAGAGAAACAAGGGAGCTCGAAGTTCCCATCCTACCTCAGTGACAGTCTGGGTGACCTTGGGCTAGTCCTTCACCTCCCTTTTGATCCTACAGTACAAACTGTCCGATATTAACTTCCTAGGTGATGGGAAGATGCTTCTAAAGCACAAAAGAAATATAAAGGCCCTTAGAGGCGTTCACTGTTAGCCACCACCACATAGGAAACCAGTGACAAAGGTGTCACTGATGGACCGATTCAGAAACTTTCACCTTGAAAACTCCACCTAAATCATACACTGCTCTTTCCCCGCAGAAAAGATCCTGCTCAGAAGTAAACAAAGCACTTCCCTCTGTGGCTGCCCCTGGTCAGGCTCCTCCGGGTTCCATCACACCAACCGCTGAGGAATTTACTGCCTGCTGACCAGCTGCTCGGGAGGAAGGAGAGCAAGCGAGGAAGGTTTCAGGAGTGGACAGGAGTGAGAGGACTCTCTCCACATACAGAGAGCCCTCTGCGTCACGTGTCTTCAGTACAGCAGATTCATCAGCTGATCCTGTGAGCTTCTCACATTCATTCTCCTCTCTATAGAGAAGTTCATTGTTTACTGGACTCTAGAAGCAAGCCCAGGAGTTGCTTGTGGGTTACAGCAAACATTTTTTATTATGCAGTCACTGTACCACATCCCAAGGACTCAATGAAACACTGTACACATCATCAGAACATTTCAGATGACCTGGAATAATCCTAGTTCTTGGTCCCCAGCTTTATTATTGAAACAGTGTGAATTAAACCAACTCCTTGGAAAGAGAAACGTCACATATGTGCGCCTAAACATAAGCACAGTCTAAGCAAATATTCATACACTGTATCCATAAAGAACAAGCTGAACTAAAAGTGATCGCTTCATTACTGGTGAAGAACATTAAACGTAGTTTAGCTACCTAGAGTTACACAGAAATGAAAGGAAGCACCCGAAAGAACGGGTAAAGTAACAAGGGAAAAAAATGACAGACATAATTATGCCAACCACGGATATAATGTTTACGTCATATGTAAGCAAGTGTTTAGTTCTGGTTGGGGATTGGTTCTATATGCGTAAGGAAAAGGGCTGCCAAGTCTTTTCCCATCAGAGTTCAACGAAAAGAGCCGCTCAGTAGCACTTCTGCCTCCAGGTCACAACCACAGACAGCCCACAAAGACAGCGGGTATAGGCACTGTCTTTATTAAGGGGTACCAAGAAAAGTCACAGAAAGGATTGCTTTTTTTGGAGTTTCCACCCTAAAATTACTGTCCCACTGTTGGTCCAGGATTTCCTGATGTCAGATTTATTGCACAGTGCGAAATACAATTTACTGATTTAATACCCTATTATTTAGCTGCCTCCATTTGTGTTATGAAATGTCAAGTAAATTAGATTATCCATACCACAGATTTTACCGAACTCTACATAGAATCTAATTTATACAGCAAAAGAAACTGCTTTCTGAAGTACCAAAGTACCCTAACTTTTTTACTGTAGCACCCTCTCCACGCCCACAGACATACTACTTACTACCCCCAGATATATACAAACACAGAAGCCCAAACGTTCCATCGGGCATTTTTGTGAGGCAAAAACAATGAAACCCAACCAATCTGTGCAGTTCACATTAGCCCTACCTCAACCCCATGAAAATCTTTCCTGATAAGAAACACTACCATCTTGAGTATAATCACGAAAACCTAGCAAGGATGTTTTCCCCACAACAGATCCTAACTGAAAAGCAGTGCTAAAATAACAAAGATTGCTCTAACTCCCCCAGACAAACAAAACAGGTTACTTGTCTATTGTTTCTGTAGTGTCCACTCAACGAACACATATTAAATAGGCCAAGTCAAAAACAAACAAACTTGAGAGCTTCAGCTTCTCACTGAAGCAGAAGGCTCTTCCACGGTGGTACTGATTCAACGGTGAAATAAAGTGCACAAGAAACGCAGCGATGGGAAACATAACTGGGGGAGAATCACAGATGATCCTGTCTTCCCACGATGGCAAACTCTACAACTTTTTAGAAGCAAACCGCAGCACCACCAACCTTCATAGATATAGATATGTGCACACACAACATTACTTGGAAGCCAAGAACTATGTTTGCAAACATCCAGCATCCTGCATTTACAACACTGCACAACATCGCCAGAGAAGCCGGGAGCTTTCTACTCACGGATAGCCTCCCTGCACTGTCAAACAGAGAAGGTCATTTTGCCTGCACATTTAGATAGTTCTTTCTTTTCGGGTATCACAAGAGTTTTCTTGTCTGGGATTGCTCAACTTTCATATACATCGGAGTAATCGACCATTTGGCAACTTTATTCACTTTGCTTAAAAAAAAAAAGAAAAAAGAAAGAAATTCACTGTGCAATGCCCAGGAAAAGCTGACACCAGGGCTGTCTCTCCGACCAGCGCTTGTAATTACCATCGGGGGTGGGGGGGTGGAGGGAATCATGTCTGATCAGACCTAGGGAGTCCAGAAAAACAGAAGTGACTCCATCCCCAAAGGGGCTGGCGAACTTTTTCTTCTAAGGAGATCACCCCTCTGGAGCAAAAGTTACATTTGTCACATGTTGGGTGTAGGAACAGGGAGCAGGTTTTTTTAAAAGCACACTCATCACTGGGGTGTTTTCCAGTTCTGGAAACAACCCGGGTTCCTCCTGGCCAATTGTGATGGGCATTTCATTGTCAAAAAGAAAAGGGGTGGAATGGGCACCGCGGAGACAACAGGGGGCTCGGCGGCGGGAGTAGCAAGGTTACCTTAAAGGGTACACCAACCGCCGCGAGCTGCATCTCCTTCCCTCGCGCCCCAAATAATTTACTGCGAACAGAGCAACTGCACCAGCCCACTCTGAAGAGCCCAGCACGACTGCCCCTGGCCGGTGCAGCTCAAGGTTTTCGACCAGCGAGAGGGAGGGGGAGAAGATTTTTACCTTAATGCTACACTGAGCAGGAGTCTCAGACATGTCTCACAGCGAGAGAGATCAGGAAGTTCTCAGTTTTTTTCACTTTCCTTTCCTCTCCCCAACCCAGAAAGGCTCCACGGCCAGCCGGACGCGGTCATTTAAGAAGTTTCTTCCAGCATCTCCCCCGGCAGCCGC